GGCCTTGTGCCGCTTGGTCGCTGGGACCGTGGGTTCAAATCCCACTCAAGCCATGGATGTTTGTCCGAGTCTCTGTGTCGTGCTGTCCTGTGTACAGGTTGAGGCCTTGCGACGGGCCGATCCCTCGTCCTAGGAGTCCTACCAAATGTCTATAGATCGAGCCAACGAAAAGTTGGGACCCGCAGTGCTCAAGCACTTGAAGAACGGGTCGTTCCCAGTATCCCAGTATCCCAGGAGACACACTGCCATATTAACAAAAACCCATTATTAATATATCCTCAATCAGACATAACAAGTTCTCATTATAACCTGATTCATTGAAATTCATTTTAATATTGTCTTCCAATCGAAGTTTACATTTTTCCAGTAAATCTTGCAGTTCTGGTTTCCCGCCTAAAATTTATTAATTTGCAATCTCCCCAACTGCGTTATATGCTTCGCTATCTCATTTTCCCTTGTTTCATCTTGATAATAATACGCAGTGAAAAGTACAAAAATGAAACTCTTGAATATTATATATAAATATACATTTATGAACATATTAATATTTATAATAAGACTGGAATTCATTTTATTTACACCTTAATAATATTTGGTGAACATATTTAAATAACTCAAAAATGGCTCTTCTAGAAGAATTAAATATGAAAATAACTTAAAAGTGACGAATTAATAACTCTTAAATATTGTTTGCATCACCTTTAGCTACAACGGATTAAACGCCATATTGATAAAGAAGCTTTTCAGATGTAATCAAATTAGACGAAGTTTGCGTTCGAAATTACCGCAGACTGTTTGTGGGCAAAATTAGTAAATTAATGAATGGTAATTGATTGACATAAATTAATAAATTAACAGTGCGAAATCTATGAAAGCTGTTACGTCACGTTAACATTCAACTAATTTCGTAAATTTTTAAATAGCTTTCCCACATTCACAGTACACGTCATTTCAATCTTCTGGAAAAAAAATTAATAAAAATGAACATGATATGATTTTGAATTTTTGTTTCAGTAACAGACGTTAAGGTAACTTAACAAATGCCAATTAAAATTCGTTACACCGGCTGTACAAATGACACCAATGTAATTAATTAAACAGCCATACAGAACATAAAAATATTGCTTCAAAGAAATGAGTAGATATTTTATCCAAAATATTAATCACGCTAAAGCAAAAGTTTACCGCTACACGGTGAGAGGAAGTGTGACTCCAATTCGTCTTGACCACGGCAGTAGATAAGGTAAGCAATAAGGGTCACACCTCGGCCTTCCTTCAACCCCATCAACCATTCGATAGGAGGTTGGATGTGCCCCAGACCCAGCCTGGTCTCAGAATTAAAATAAAATCCTTTTTCACTGCTGGGGATCGAACCATTTTCAAATACCACTGACTGACCTATTCTGGCCCCTTACTAATATAACTATACTTTGCAACAAGGTAAAACTGTAATAATGGAGGTGAACTAATTCATGTACAACTTTAATATCAATTATTAGTATTATATAATAACACTGTTATAATTACTTGTGACAGATAACTACATATCGTCGAATGAGATGGCAAGACAAAACTTTGTGTGGGTAAGGATTTGGAAGGAAATAGTCGTGGCGTACTGGAAGACACTCCCTGATTATGTTGGAAGTTAAGCTAAAATAGCTATTCACATATATCACAACACAAGTGCCTCCTCACATTTATGGTCACAAAATATCAAACTTTTTTTAGTGTACAAACTAATGCTACATAACAGAAATACGCAAAATTGTTCCTGGTTCATGGAAACGTATGAACAGGTTGGGTGCAATTACACGCATTCTTGATTTCGACTCTAAATGGTTATGAGTGGTTATCTTCAGGTCCTGTCGCTTTACCCTCGAAACAAAAACACTAGTAAACATTCAACTGGAGATTTGGTGGGCCCTAGGGCAGGGTCTAGACGTTATAGCGAAAATAAAAATTATACTCTGCCAGAAATAGGACCCCGGTTGTCCAGTCACTACACTGACTCAGCTCCTGCTATATAATCTATGAAGTTTAAATGAAGTCCTTAAATAATCCATTAACATTGTGCTTAGATTATCTTACAGCCCTCTGTGCTTTATCATCTTCCGCCCCTCCACCAGTTTTAATCCCTTTTATTTTCCACACCGGATACCCACTCTTTCTTTCCACTTCCTTCCGTATCCTTCTAATTCATTATTCATTGTCATCCCCTCATCCGATGCTAAATAGCGGCAGATATTTAATGACAGAATAAAAATTAGTAATGATATATCGAATATTTCAGAGAACAAATTTAGCCTTTTAAGTTTAATTTATAGTTGTATGCCACAATCATCTGCTTGTGGCCATGTCAAACTCCATTAACATTGGATTCTTCTCCCCTCGTTCGTCTGGTAGCCTTTATATTTTTCCCCCACTCATAATAATAGGCATGTCATTCTTGATCAGCTGGCCACAACGCATTTGATTATTCCACTTTTACATGAAACGCGTGAAGAGAACATACAATAGAACATTAATTTTAGTTCACATGTCTCTAGGCGTTTTACATCTCACAAATTACTGAAATGTGTTTATACAGAATGTTCAATGTCGTCATTTATTTACGAAGTCTTACATACTGTCTTTCAAGCCGACCTTTTATTGGACGAAGGGTATTTTTAGCTACCGCAATGTATATTGTGTAATAACCGACTAAAAGCCATTTTCTGCCCTGTATTGGCAGAGGCCTTCAAGGCGGTCAGCCAACTGCTGAAGAAAACTTTTTCCGAATCTTCTCTTAAGAACGCGCTTCAAATTCTCCAAGGACTTTAGAACCACGAGAAAAGAAATTGACAATATTATGAAGATGCAAATTTTAATCTGCTACCCGTAAATTTTCGTACAGTTTCTTACTATTTTCTCTACTTTGAATTAAAACTGTGTAAATGCGTAGTATATGAACATGATTGTCGGTTGTAAGGTTTACTATCGTAGTAAAAACAAGTAAAAGTTAGTGGGAATAAAAAAATTGTGTATGCATACGTAATACTATTTACTGAAGCATTATTTTTACAAATCATATTAGAAGTATTTAATTCATTTAAAAATCGTTAGAAACTAAATTAAATGTGATAACATCTTCATTGTCATGTGCCAGTCCAGGTTCGTGGTTCGATTCCCGAACGGACTGAACCTTGAGATGAGGGGTAAACCAGGCTTTGGCATATTAATCTGGTATATATAAACGAAGAAAGTGTGATTAGATGATATTTGGTACGCCTTACGTCATCCAAATTTAAGTTATTTTATTAATTTTGGCATTATTAAATGTATTAAATTGGAAGAGAGCGGTGACACTCAGTCGTGTGAACGTCTCTCCTCCCGACATTACGTCTAGCGGGAACGTGACTTTAACAAAGCTTTCGCACTCGTAAAAGCTATTTACGAGGCGAAAAATTAAGCCCTTCCAGATGTGGAATGACGGTTGCCCGACAACCGTCGTCTCACTGCGACTGGAACCAATGGAATTCGAATGTGGTTTTCGGCGCATTTCCGACGTCATGGGGTGACTTCTGGGTTGACGAATCGGATCGTCGTATTAAATTCAAAATTTAAGAACAGTTACGTTGCGGGGGTATTTATAGCGGGATTGCGTTGGTGCGGGCCCCCAAAAATTCTGGTTCTTCAAGTCAAGCGGACAGTTTCTGCTTATGCCTTCAATTTTCAAGTAGAAAGACAATAGCCGAATCATCGCGCTGCCTTCCGATCAGAGTAATTGGCTGTACAACAGCGTGTCTCGAGGCTCAATAAAAGGTGACATCTCCAAGGTACCTTCGGTGTGGTCTTCAGTTGCTCAACCCCAAAGATTTCACTTCCTAGGCGCAAATGCCGCTCCAATCAACGCAGTTCCCGTACATTCCCTGAGATTCGGAGACCCTTGCCCTCCGACAAAACCTGCACCAAAAATCCCTTTATACCCTTCCGCATACCGAAATTTATATCTCAAGCTGTAACCGCACGCAAACCGGGCACGCTACTGGGTTTGATCCTGTGGCTACCAAAAAAGACAAGTCGTGTGCGGAAGGGCGGTTGCAGTCACTTAAGTCATATTTTCCTGTGAAACTCACCAACCAACAAATCTATTGCCTGACTCCACACTCCCGCCAAATGCAGAATCCGCCAGACCCCACAATTGTCGCCACAATATCCCTGAACTCTCTTCTTACTATCAGAGTCGCCACCGTCAGAATGTTAATATTTCTGACATCGGAGGAACGGACCATTCGTACGGTCAAATTTATGTCAGGGTTTTAACACAAAAATGTTAAGACCAAGGTGTAAAATCACCGAGAAAACATTTTGAACATTTGTTTTAGAATTATAAGAATTCCTTTGTTCTCACGATTTGCTAGCTACACTAAAAAAGCTATTACTGCGTAGGACAAGAATGGACGATGTGCAGGTGGAGACGGTGTCCCAACAGCGATCTTACGACATCGTGGCCACGAAAGTAGTACAAGACAGCGACCTCGAGACACCCACAGTGTTCGCCTGCGAGCTGCGTATTCCAGACACTCAGTACGCAGTCAGTAAGAGTGTTATCTACTATCCAGGTAAAAAACAAATACATTTATATGCCACGCACTTTAGGCTCTTAGAATACAAATTCACGACTTTATCTACCGAAGAAATTTTTAGACAGTTCGTGGTTTATTTACATTCATCAGCATAATAACAGATGGTAATCAAGGTAAAACGACTGGAGACTGAAGCTGATGTCTGTCCTACAGCTTTCTCCGACTTTAAATAAGCTTAGACTATTTACTCCACTCCAAAATCGTCTTGGCGTGGTGCATTATCACACGGAAAATAACATTTTATTACCTTTGAACGAAGCATATGTTGAATGAATTAGAGAAATATAAGAATAGGCCCAGTTCTATTAAAATCATCGGTAGTGCAACCCCTTCTATACTAAAGAGGCAGGCTTGGACAATACTTGATTATGTAATTAGTACATCAGTTGTGATTACCAAAAGGGTTTGTAATAGAAGATGATATACAATAGCAAGATACACAAAACCAGCTACATAATATAGTCAAATTTAAAATTAACAAAATAGAAAGCATGTATTTACAACGTAAACAAAAGCGAATATAAGCATAGTATGAGGGGGCCCGGGTGACCTTTTATAAGCTACAACAGTCAAATACAACCCCCTAAAATGCCCATTAACAGAATGAGTCATAACACAGATCAAAACACAATGTTTAAAATACGGGAACAGTCAAGTGGGGCGTGAGTACTGAACCTTTGCACATTATTACGAATTTACAACAGTAATAAATCAGAATTTCGTATTAAGAAAATTAACACGCTCAAATAACGCCAAAACTACAAGGTAAATAATAAATTAACATAGAACACGAACAGAACAAAAGCCATGAAAGTAACCGTGCAGTACTGACGTATAGGAAAAATAGAATATCACAATTATGTAAACATAAATCCAACTCCACAGACATGTAGAAACGTGAAGAGAGTATGTAGCTGACACTCAATAGAAAAGGAAAACGTGTACTGTACCTTAGAGACGATCACCCCTAGCATGATGCTCTCCAAACCAAAAAAATGTTATAAACACAATTCACTTACGGAAACCATCACGGCAAGTAGACAGAGATCTGAGAGTCGCTGGCCAACGGCGGAGGCTAGAACAAGTTGTCCGGTTGAGAGGTGGTAGGAAGGGTAACGGTCCTCGAGCGGCTATCGAAAGGTATTACAAACCCATCGTTACAGTAGAAATAAAATTACGTCTGACGACACGCATAAATTACGCCACATCGCAGTGATTGGGAAAAATTAAACCACCAAAGTCTTTCATAAATTTTATAACAGATCATGTTTTTCAAATTGTCACTGCTAATCGATTTTAACATTTTACCTACTTACCCCATGGAGCCAAGAGTCATTAAAGATAAGTTGAAAGTTGCAAGAAGTTCCCAACGTTTTATGGATGTCGCAGGTTTATTACCGTGTTTACAAAAGCCCGCCACTTGTCCGTATCCTGAGCTAGATGAATCCAGTTCATAACACACCATCCTATTTCTCTAAGATCAATTTTGATATTATCCTCACACCTATGTCTTCGTCTTCCTAGTGGTCTCTTTCCTTCCGCTTTGCCCACCAAAATCCTGCATGCTTTAATCTTCTTTCCCATGCCCTACCAATCTAATCCTCCTTGACTTGATCTATCTAATTATATTTGGTGATGAGTATATCGTGTGATGATCGACACTATTCAACTTTCTCCAGCCTCCTAGTGATTCATCTCTCTTAGGTCTAAATATTCCTTAGTGTCAAAGACCAAGATTCACGTCCATACATAACTACAGGCAAAAGAAAACTTTTGTATATTTTAATCTATGTTTTTATACAGCAGATTGGAAGAGAAACGCTTCTGAACTAAATGGTAGGAAGAATTACCCGAATTCAATCTGCTCTTATTACCTTCATGGATCAAATTCGATTTATTACTACCGCTCCCAAATATCATAATTTCGCCACGTTTGCAAAGGATGCATTAGCTATCTTTATGTTACGAATTTGCTTTACCTCCTGGTGACGAGACATCAACATATACTTAGTTTTCTCTGTGTTTACTTCTAGACCAACCTCCTCACTAGCGTCAATTAGAGCTTCTGCTTCGCTTGATGGTATTTATGTTATCCCTCAACAGATACATCATCAACGTAGACCAGAAGCTAATGTGCCCCATTAAATTTCAGTCCCACCTGGTTTTCCTCGACCTATACATCTACTGTCACGTGTGCGTGTTCCAGGATAAAAAAATAAGAAAAATATTCCTATGAAATGTTTCACTTTCGAAATAATAGCCAAACATAAGTTTCAATAAATGAATTTATGTCAAAGTCAATACAGGTTCCAGCAAAGATTTTTAATTAACTTTTTGTCAGGAATTGTTGGCGACATGCTTATTGGTCCACACATGCTTCCATCGCGTCTAAGAGGACCTTCATATCGGCGACTCTGAAGAAGACACTTTCCACGTCTCCTTGAAGATGTACCACTGAATACAAGAAGACAAATGTGGTTTATGCACGACAGAACCCCAGCACATTTCTCCCGTCGCGTCAGATATCATCTCAATGAACAGTACCCTCAGCGATGGATTGGGCGTGGTGGCCCAGTAGCGTGGCCACCGAGGTCACCGGACCTGACTCCATTGGACTTTTATCTGTGGGGTCACTTGAAGTCCATCGTTTATGCAACACCCATAAACAATGACGACGACCTATGGGAACGTGTGCAGAATGCATGCCATGTGATTCGAGGAAACCCTGGTGTGTACGAACGAATCCGTCAGTCTTGTGTACGTCGTGCTCGTGCATGTGTGGAGAATGGAGGAACAACCCTTGAGCATCTGTTATAAAGAAACATCCCTGTCCTTATAGTTGGCAATAAAGGCATAAGTTGAAACTTATTTTTGGCTATTATTTCGAAAATGAAACATTTGCGACCCCAAGGTCATAAAAACATTTTTTTGTTTGTTTTTGATTCTGGAACACGCACACGAAGTTTGTAAACACACTCCAGACTCAATCTGTATAAACTGACAGGACCACTAAGTAGGCCTATACTTCTTCGGGGCATTATTTTCTGCCCCGGGTTAGTTACTGTTGCTCTCAGGAACCAAAAGTTAACTATTTCGGACTTTGCTGTTAAAATGACGGAAGAGAAGTTAGCAGTGAGATTGTGTGCGGCCATATTAGTATGTGAAGAAGGTTTGACATAAACCTGTATTAGAGCGGCTATAATATCAGAGATATATATTCTTCCCCGTTGCATAAAACAATTTTCAGAAACCGGACATTCATTTCACTGAACTTTAAATAATTTTCTATTTTCTTTTAAAATTGCTTTGTTTCATGATAAAATCAGTGACTCACAGAATAAGTTACATTTCGCACCCGAATTAAATTGGGGGCCTTTCAAATGCAAGACTATATCTAATTCCATTTAGCGGAGTCTTTAGGAAACTGATAGTCGCACATCTGTACAATCAATTTTATGGAACCCCGAACGCGCGTTGCCATATTTAATAATGTCATTTCAGGTTCTCACGACGAATATAAAAACTACTGTCGTGTGATGTTTTCTCAGATAGATCAATGATGGAGGGAGCAAGTACCCCTAAAACGTCGGCAAACTTCTAGCAGAATACGCGGAACAACAACCCAGAAGACAGCAATCTTATTTTAATTTCTTATGAGTCTATTTTAGGTCATTTTCCTTACTAGCGTTTAATGGAGATTCTGGCCTGTATATACAAGCATACCTCGGAGATATTGCGGGTTCGGTTCCAGACCGCCGCAATAAAGCGAGTCAGACGAATTTTTTGGTTTCCCAGTGCATATAAAAGTTATGTTTACACTATACTGTGGTCTATTAAGTGTGCGATAGCATTATGTCTAAAAAATGTGAGGACATTGAGAGAATTACCAAAATGTGACACAGAGACACGAAGTGAGCACATGCTGTTGGAAAAATGGCGCCGATAGACTTCCTCGACGCACGGTTGTCATAAATCTTCGATTTGTAAAAAAAACGCAATATCTGCGAAGCGCAATAAAGCAAGGCGAAATAAAACGAGGTATGCCTGTAAATCAACATCAGCGACTACAAGAGGATCTGTTCCATTACATTCGAACCCCCCCCAATTTCTTGCACCTTTCTAACGGGGTATTTTATAGCGAAGATAAAAATCAATGACCATAAAACATCGCTTTGTAAAGTGGTGACGTAATACACTGTAACCAGTATGTAACCATCTTACCAATTAGCCTGCGTGTTTACAATTTTGTTAATCTGCTTAATGACCAGAATTCTCTGAATGTAATCTGCCCATAAGTGTAAATTCTTTGCAAGTTCTGTAAGAAAATATTTATCTTCGGTCACGCAATTCCATAATTAATGCTATCAGCCTTTGCGTGAGATGGTTGTTCGTACTGATGGTTATAAGATTTTACAGTCTGCCGTATTCTTGACTAGGTAACGAGCTATTTCTCTCACAGTAAAACCCGTTGGTTCAACGCAATAAATGTCAAATTCCTCCACTGGGCATGACCCCGAGACCACTGCTATCAGTCTTAAATCCTCTCAACATATTTTATACATATCCATCTTAATGTTATCGTCCTTGATCTTTCCCCATCTTCTACGTTGGAAAGATTACACTTTCTCACGGCTGCAAGTACGAAAAAGATTGTCTTTTAGGATGCTAAATCCTGTGATTTGGAATAATTTTTTACGAAGTTTAATAGGTACTTTCTACCTCCGTCATCAGGGTGATAAGTGATGATAGAGGCAGCAAGCAATTCTTTAACGTCGGTGAAATTCTACCAGAATAAAAGTGGCAATATCCAGAATAGAGGCATTTTATTCCGCGTGGACAATTTAAAAAATGATTCCCCTCCAAAATTCTCTGTGTATTTTTGATCTTCCGCATTCTAGTAGCCACGTGTCCAGCCCATCATAACTTGTTACATTATACTACACTAACATTACGTGCACAAATCGTAGTGTTTATTA